TTATATAGGGCGAAACAGCTTTGTTTAATTGGTTTGGTACCAAGTTCAAGAATCATCTTATGTTCGGCGACTTTACAATAACCTAAGCCGCAGAATCTATTTGGGAAATCTTGTTTTTAACCAAAGCGTCATCCAAGGTACAAAGTTCTACTAGTTCACGGCACATTTTGTCATATTTCTAGATAACGTCCTTAGTGTTTGAGATAGAGTAGAGATAATGGTATTTAATCTTCACAGGCTATTTTTTTTTTGGAAGGTAACAAATAAGTTGGCAAACACAGCCGCGGCACAAGAGTACCAAAAACATCAATGATTTTAGTTTTATTGATAAGAGTCATGATGGAAACTTGGATATAGGGTATCTGACTATTGGCAACAGTACCTACAAGGATTATTTTGTTTTATTGGTAAACCCAATAAGGCTCAAAAGGATTTCATAACCACATAACCCAACAAGACTTGATACCTATAATCCAAAAACAGAAAATCCCATAATGTAAATCTGAAGATATGGGCGTTGGTTTCAATAGACATGAGATCTAATAGTTATAATCCAGAAGGATTTTATTTGGAAACACACCAGGGTTACCACATCGATTCATCGATAACAGTGAATTATTCGATGTTCTGGACAATTTCGATTATCTGTGCTAGAAAGTTCAGAGTGATTCCGATAAAAATGCGAAATCGGGCTCAACAAATTATTGAATCGAGCGAAAGGCTGACAAATTTCGGCAAAGGATTTCCAATTGTGTCCAATTACCATCATATAGCGCCTAAAGAGCGCATGCATACAGGAAAGAAAATTCACAATACTCTTTGAAGTATCCTGTGTCCGATCTAAAATTTCTCTAAAATGTCTTATGCCCGATTGCACCGTCTCTCTTAACTGAGGCTTAACCATAACTATCCCTTAAATTGACAGTTTTGCATGGGAAAATGTCACTTTAAGCAATAGTTATCTTTAAGCCTCGGTTAAGAGAGACGGTGCAATCGGGCATTATTGATCTATAATCTATAGAGGTGCGACATGACGTTGTAGTAAATCGGCTAAATTGATAGATGTATAATATCCTGTCAGATTTGCTCTTGAGTGTATTTGTAGGCAGGGCAGAGCTGTCAGTACTTCAAGTAAATTACTTGGAAAATGTATTTCAATTACTTTTTAGTATTTGAAGTACTATAATTCAAATACTTTTGTTTTTGAATATTTTTACTTGATTCTGCAATTACTTTAAATAAAGTATTTGTATTTGGTAGGTACTTGGATTTACAAAAAAAGTAATTCAAATACTGGACATTTGTACTCAAAATACTGGAAATATTTCAAATACCCCAGAAAGTAAAAAGTATTTGAAATACTCCAGAAAGTAATTCAAATAAGTACTTCACCAAATGTGAAATTAACATGTCCTACAGCAGATATGACTGACGATTTTTTTGAATTGGATGATTCCCACTCCCTGGAGAGTCTTTAAAATAACAATAAAAGAAAATTCGAACTGGAAATTCTTCAATATGCAGATGATACCAGTATAGATATAAAATCTGTGGATAGGTTTCCTGTCATAAAAAAGGTTTTTCATAGGTACAATATGTGTCTTCCGTCATCAGACCCTGTAAAAAGACTTTTTAGTTTTGCAGAAATAGTGAACACACCTCGAGGAATAACAATTAACAATCCCACTGCACTTTATTTCTTAATCAACCAACAAATATTTAATTAAGTAGGTACTTGAAATACTTACAGAGTATTTGAATTTTTTTACTTGAAAAAATCAAGTACTAAATTAAAGTACTTGAAACTTGAAGTACTTTTTAAATTGAAAGTATTTAGTATTTGTACTTGCAACATGAATTTCCCGTAATTGATACTTGGTACTTGGTATTTCAAATACTATTTACCAGTATTTGTGACAGTTCTGTTTGTAGCTATGAGAACATTAGTTTGTGTATCAGGATTCCAACTCCTTCATTACTGCTGCTATATTATCATCACTTTTGTAGAATAGGACTTAATTTGAATAGACATATTCTTCTCCTACTATGTCCCATTTTATTCTATCGAGTTTGTAATTTAGTTCCTCTAACATTTCTTCATTTTTCAACGTCCTTGCGTTGTATGTTCCGATGGATAGTTGGCAACCTGATCCTCTTTTTGGTCACTGGTATGTCTCTTTTGTCCGCTGCCTTGAATGGTCAGGGTTAACCGAACCGTTGAAGACTGAGGGCTCTTTCCTATGTGATTCTGTCATTTAAGAGGGGTTTTGCCATGGGACACCTCGTTGGCAAGACGTCTTGGTGAATAGGAATTTCAGCCGCCTCTAACATGAGAAATCTCCTAGCTGTACTATTTTTAATTTCTCTGCATCTAATCGGTTTTTAAATGTGTTTATATTAGGGGCGGTCACTGTATGTTCTGATAAGGCATTCCATGAGTAAACTACCCGATTGATTTAGATTATAAAAAAAAAATCTTTGGTATTTTACAGCTTTTTTTTTACCAGTTTCTTTGAATGTCCTCAGAGCTGTTTGTTTTGATTATGGTGAAAGATCTGCCCAATATCGCATTTATAGTACCCGGTTATTGCTATCATGTATGTTTCTATTAAATCTCTAAGTCTTTTATTGTTGTCGATTGCATTTTTGTCAACCTTTCAGTATAGGTAAGATTCTGTAGCTCTGGTCGTATTTTGGTTACTCTTCTCTAAAATCTGTTTTTTTTTTAAGATAAAAGTCAAAATGACATTATGTTGGCAATGCAATGTAAAATTGTCAATGCTTTCAAATTTTTATGTAGAAAAGGCTTGTGTTGCCAACATAGTTACTAAATTTTTGACTTGGGGAATTATCTTTAAAAAAAAAAAAAAAAACTTTATAAACCCTGTTTTGCGTCCTATAGGTGGCTCTGATTTGAGATCAAATACTTTTTTTTTTCACTGCAAAGAAACAGATCCAACAGTGAGCTCTGGTCATTTCTATAACGGGTTGGAAAGTTTATTAGTTGGTAAATGTGGTTCTGCTGATACATATCGATGAAATCTTGGGTTTTTTTGTTAGCTGGGATAACCGATAGGTTTTCCCAATTTAGGTCAGGGTGATTAAAATTTCCAAATAAAAATGTTGGTTTTTTGGTTGCAAAAGCATTGTAAATATATCATGTTTATCATCTGACTATTAGCTTGTTCTGTATTTCCTAGCCTGTAGATGCATGATGCATGCAACAAGAATTTTCATGTGATCTAATTTCAAGTCCAGCCATACAGCATCAACTGGTGATTCAGTCTGATATTTTTCAGGAAGAGTGCAGCTCAAGCTGTGTCCGTCAACCTGGTTTTCAACTAAAATGCATGCCTCTCCGTACCTTTCTGATTTGGAAGATCTTCTCGGAAGATGCTGTAACCATCTATACTTATTAGGGTATCATCTATGCCAGATTCTAAGCCAGGTTTCTATCAGCATAACTATAATAATTTATTAACGATCAAAGACCATTTACAATCACATTCATTTATATTAAACTTAAGTAATTCTTAACGTCTATCTTGAACTTATTAAAAGAGGAGTTAAAAAAATCAGCAGTAGGTGGAAGCCTATTTGCTTCTCTGCATATTCTAGATATAGGTGAATAAAAACCATAATTTGTTACATAAGAGGATACACCAAAGGTTATATTTTGACGGGTTTGTCTTGTTGGTAGGTAGGTACCCTAAAATAAAATAGTTGCAACAATGCCGGCGAAACAATACTATTCAAAACCCTGAACAATGTGCATAGATCAAAATACAATCTTCTTTTTTTCTAGTGACGACATCTCTAGAGAACCAATATGTCATTATATTGAAGTTCATCTCTTGGAATACACGGTCGATGTCCTACATGACGCAGAAACTTTTTTTGGACTCTCTCAATTTCATCAATCATGAGGGAGACCCTACAGGACAAGCATATTCAGTGACAAATCTGACTACTGCACAGTAATCAACACCCCAAGGTCCTTTATGATCTCCTCTCTAATCAATTCCTGATTATTTAATACATAGGAGTATACAATGGGTATCTTCAACCGGTAGAAACTGATTATACATTTACCTACATTGAGTTCGAACTTATTAGACTGACACCACATAGCAAAGCTCTGTAGGTCTTCTTGAAGTTTTATACAATCACTTTCACAACGAATAACCTTAAGAACTTCAATTCGTCTGCAGACAATAAAATTTTGCTGAAACGAATACATGTATAGAGCAGTTGAATAATATAGGCGATAGATGGCTTCCCTGAGGCGAACCCGGTGATACATTGATTATGACTTTGACTATGGTTAAACAAACAGTTAGTTAATTCCCTTTCCCTCCATTTATCAATTTTGTTTACCATCGATGATAAATTACTATAAAAAAAAGGGATCCCATTGACATTGATGGCAATGTTTCCTTTTCCTTTACTCTTTTGTTTTTCTAAACTCCACCAGAACTTGCTTAAAATATTTTATTTGGTTTTCTGTTTGATCGGTCTTAATGGTCTAAGGTCTTAATCAATGTCATTGGTCTTAATGTATACTCCTTGTACATTTTGCTCAAGACCTTTTTTATTTTTTAGAGCTTGTAGAGCTTCTTCCCTGCTAGAAAACATAATTTTTATTGGTCTTTTTTTATCAGCTGCCTCTGGGAGGAATTCCCACAGGTTTACAGGTACCCCCGAGAAATCCTTCAGTTTGCTACTTATATTTTCTAGGTTAGTTTTGATATACAAAAAGTGCGGGTAATGACATTAATTAATTTTTTTTTTAAGTAGTAAAGTCACAAGAACTGAAAGAGATCTTGAAAATCTTGAAATTTCGGAAAAATAATCAGAAAAATGGCATCTTTGGAGGCTTTTGAGCTTATTGAAGTTCTTCTAGAAATGTCACAAAACCTGGAACATTCAATTTATACATTTGGCGTATCTAAAGGATTTGGCACCAGTTTTACCGTTTTTAAAAACAGAAAAACATTTTTTTCATAAAATATTCTTTATTTGAAACTCAGACTTTATAATACACAATTAAAATAATATTTAAAATAGGTACATCTAGGACTGTGTTGTTTTGCTTAGAACCAGCTCTAATTAATGTATATCATGTGTAAGTATATTTAAATTAAAATCAAGAATACACTATAATATAAATTAAAATAGAAAAAAAATTAACATCCAAAATTACCACCACCATAAAATTTAAATTAAATAAACACATCTGACAATTTCACCTAGAACTGATTCCAACCGCATTAAAAACAAAGCCTTTACTTATTATAAGAAAAATTTAAAATCAAAATAAAACTACCTTAGAATTCCTACACAAAACAAAAAACCGCTTAGAGCTAACTAAAATGGAATATTAAATTTGAAAATAAAATTATTTATAAAACAAACAAACACAAAACATTTATTGTTTGATTAAGCTTATTTTGTACTTGCACACAAATCTATAATTTATATTTTAAATAATATTGCAACACCAAAATACTGTGTACAATAAGGTACTATAAAACATTAAATCAGTTTAATCTGGAAAAAATAGAAAAATATTGAAGAATAATTATTAATAATCACTTATTATGTACTTACCTTAAATCGAATACTAAAAATTAGAAAGCAAGTGAACGTGGCTTAAATTTTTTACCAAAAATCCTGTGCGCTTTTTCCGTAAGGTCCAACTGGTCTTTGGTACGTCCGCACACGATTGCGGTCCACGTTCTATCCAGCTAAAGTACATAAAAACATTCTCAGTAATTTGATTAATAAATTAACCCTAAAAACATAAAGCAAAAAGCACACACCTTAAAAGTGGCAGGCACTTCATCGAAAGTGATCCGCTTGGCCGCAGTTGCGTGCTTACTTTCGGTACTACCATGAAGCTGTAGGACAATTTTTGCTACAATTAAACTAACCACAGAACATTGAATGGTACTAAGACATTTTTGATTTATTCCCATATATTATTACACCAATAATAATACAAGATTCCATGTACGATTTTTTTTTTTATTAATTTTTTCTTTGAGTTAGGTATAATGACAACTGTATAGTAAAATTGTACATGAAAGAATAAATTTTCTGTAGTTTTTTTGTTTGATTATTAGTAAGCATTGAAATGAGGGATTATGTTATGCTGATTATCCGAAAGGAAACCACGCCACGTTTCATTTCCACAAAGTGAATAATTTAATAGTTTGTTCATCTGAATCAAGTGCCTATGAACAACAGAAAAAAATCAACTTTGAAAATTTAGTAAGCAAAAGGAATTAGGTGGTTAAAAGGATCACAACAAGATTTGTTTTTAGTTACTATTTTGTAAACACATCACATAACAATACCATTTGAAACGCATAACAATTAAAACAAAAATGCAAATAATCTCATTCATATTTTTCAAAATTTCTGTATTCGCAAAAGTTAGTAGCTAAAAACAAATCAAGCGTGTTAGGAAGAAGCTTCAAAAATAAAAACAAAACTTCGTTGAACATAAAATCATACCTTTATTTTGCATTTTAATACACGTTACAACAAAATGTTCTATAAAATCATACAATAAATTAAACCAAGTTTAGTGTTCTACAAGTCAAATTTTCTAAGTTATAAAAGACATGCAAAAGATTTCTTCAATTGCCCTTTTTGTTAGGCGCATGCAATTTATATAGAAGACACAAAATAAAGGTATTTAAAAAAATTGAATACAAAAATTTTGAAAAAAAAAGTCACACTCCACATTAGCAGAAAATATACACTGAGGGCGTCGAGCCTAAAAAATACACTTGAACAATAAAAAAAGCTTAAAAAATACGTGCAACAAATAATTAATAATTAATAAGTACAAAATAGAAAGTGCAAATTTATAATACACAAAATTTTAACAAAGTTAAGCGATTTTTGGTAACGCGGCAATATTCTAGGATAGAACCAGAGCAAAGTAAAAAGAATTATATTTTTTAGCGAATCATTTTGATTCGTGACATAAAATACTTAAAGATAAAATAAATTAATGTAGTGGAGTATAATTCGTTCAAGAGAAAATTATTAGATTCATATAATAGCAAATTATTTACTCCACTATAAGCTTAAAAATGAATATTTGGCTTTGGCACTAAAATATTGTACTTCTCCTAGAATATTAATTGTATATACCAACCTTATTATTAACAACACAAATAACAAAATTAAATAAAGAAAAACATAATAATTTTAAAAAAAAAGACAATGACTTTTCGACAATATAAATTAAGCAAAGTAACTAAATACAAATCAAATTGTGAAGGGGAAGGCATAGTGTTGAAGCATTGGATGCTGACAAAGAACAAATTTTTTTTTGTCAGCATTTTCTCCAAAAAGGCTTTGGTTAATCATGATAATTAGCATCGACTAGAAGTTTAAATTAAACTCATTCATGCACTTTAAAATTTAAAACTTTGTAGCAATTGCTTCAAACCAAAAACATTTTAGAGGTATTTTTACTCAGTCCAGGTAAAAATAAAGAGCAAATAAAAGAAGTTTGATTATTGCCGCTGGAATGATAACTGCTAATTTTTTCTAATATTCTAGGCCATTAATTACCTTTTACTTTAGAACACAAGCTAGAAAATATAGTATTTCCATTATCATTCCAACTTCATACACAAGTAGCGTAATATTTAAATGAAGCAATTGCCAATTCATGAGGAAATCAACCAAAAACGCATAGAAGCATACACGAGACAAGTAGGTCCAGGTACCATGGTAAGATTAGTAAAAGTAAAAATTAAGACGGAAAAATATCCCCAAAAGGGAACCATCCGTGTACCTTTGTAACTCCGTGCGGCGGAGCCGAGTAATCCAGCGTAGCTACTCCCAAAGAGTCTTTCATAAGGGACTGCGGGGTAGAGAAAAGTATTGAAGTGTCATCACCGAGGGTCTTACTCTGAAAATAATTAATTAAAATCTACTACAAACGCAAACAGGTATGGCTTACTGGTGTTTCAACAGCAAAAGACATATCCGAAGCAACTCCAGAAGATGTTGAAGTTGAAGCCCAAGACGGTCCCAAAGCTTTCCTGCAGGCCTTCTTGTTGGGCAAAGTGTTTTCTTTGCCTGTGTTTGATTTTCGTTTTCCAGTCAAATAACCACTGTCATTCTGAAAATGAATATTTCCATCAAAATTTGAACAAACGAAAATAAATTAGACAATATTAAAAAGAGAAATTCTCTATAAATCTGTGCAAAATAGCAGCTCAAATAGTTTTTGAGCAATTGAGGCTCACAGTTGAATTTTAGTCAAAATTTAGTGAAAAACTTCAAACTCAATTTTCTCAAGAACTATAAACCTGGTAATATTTTCCAATACAAATTTTCAAGAGCTATTTAGGAGCTACAAATCCTGAAAATTTTGATTCAATATTTCTCACAGATTTCAAGATATTGAAGCTGAAGAGTTTGAAATAAGAATCCAAAGAGGGTACTCTTTGAAAAAAATCGAAATTGAAGCAAATCAAAATAAAGAGCATTGAATTCTCTACAAATCCGTGTTACAATGAGTTTGATAGCTCGAATACTTTCAGCCGCAAAGTTGAACATTTTCAATTAACACACAAATTTCCAAACTGTTGCTTCAACCCTCCTTTGGGTAAATTGAAAATGACAATTACAATAAATTGAAAAAAATAACAATTATGCCAATTTCAAAAATTAGTGAAAGAACCCATTAAAGCAAAAAATCTTACCTCTATCACCAAACTACTATCAGTTTCATAGTGCGAACTGTCCTGATCCTTTTTCATTATTTCATTAAAGTCTTCTAACCGTGAAGAAGGCGTATCAGGCAAATTCGTAATTGGCCCAGATTTTTTTTCCAAATCAGCCAGAGCTTTTTTGAACGGCGTAGGAGTACGCGGAGTATCTCCTTGCAGCAATCTCCTACTAGGAGTAGTAGGTTCTGAAGCACCTTCACTTTTAACATGAGGTCCATTCGGTGTACTGAGAGGACTGTAATCTCGAGTTTGTTGTTTTGGAGTTTCAGGTTTTTCAGGAGCAATGGACTTAGGAGTTGATGACGAAGTTACATCGAAATTAATATGGGCCATTGCAGGGCTGTTCAAAAATTGTGAAGGGCTAAAAGGTAGTTGTTTTATAGGCGAGCCTGTGCCTCTAACTGGACTGAATATTGTCGGCCTGCCACTGTTAAACATAAAATTGAAATCTACGTTTTTCTGTTGACTCGGGCCTGCTTGGTTCATATCTTGATCTTCACTGTCTCTTCTCCTGCGCGATCGACCAGCACGCCTCAATATTGTAGGCGTTGTTGCTCGAGGTTGTACCATTGGGATATTATTTGAGATTGGTATTTGATAATTACGAGCTTCAACCACTGAAAATTCCTGATTTATTGAAATATTAAACTTAGACGAACACTTACGTGCTCTTATCAGCTGCTTCTTATTATCTTTCAAAGGGCTCACGCCTGGGGAATTATTGAAGTAACCCAAATCCAGGTCTTCGTTGAGCGGAGTTAGTTTTACAGGTGACAGTTGGGTAGGGTAACTTCTGGCGTAACTATGAGTTTCCGCAATATTGGCCTGCTGAATGCTAGTAGGTGAAGGATTTAATCGTTCCATCGGACTCGGTGCACCCATTGAAAAACCACCTGCACTCGATTGGTTACTGCCTTGATCATACATTTCCCATTCCTAGGAAAATAGATAATGATTAAAACTACCTGAATAATAATTTGCACAATGATTTGTTGACGGATATACCTTAATGACACTTTCATATTTTGATACGATTTAACCGAGTGTCATTTCAAGCACAGCCAACAAGGCTAAACTAGCTCAAATGTATCAACTTACTACATTATACATTGAAGCAATATTCTCCTGTTGCTTGGCCTGTTCCATCGATTGCAATTGATTGGTTAAATTGCTGACATTTATTTGTCGTTGATTCTTCCTATTACGACCTCTCTTATTGTCTCCATCCAAGTTTTCGTATCTGCGACGCATCGTCGAGTTCCAATGGTTTTTGATAGCGTTGTCGGTCCTCCCAGGCAAAAGTTTAGCAATCTTGGCCCACTGATTGCCCAGCACCTGATGGGCCTGGTAAATGATTTCGTCTTCCTGTTCGGTCCAGGCGGACTTTTTGATTTTCGGGTTCAGATGGTTGTGCCATCTTTCGCGGCACTGTTTGCCGATCCGGCCTTTCAGGTTTCGCGCTATCAGCGTCCATTTTTTCGCTCCGTACTTGTTTACTAGTTCGATGACTTTTTCGTCTTCCTGTAACAGAAGAGTTTTTTTTACATTAAAAATTACATAAATTACGAAAACTACAAAAACTATGGGACTCCAGATTCGCAAGATAATTTTTCTAAAGACTTTCAAGACTCAAACGTCACTAATAATCAAAATGTTGACCATTACTGGCTATTGATTTCCTAGAAAACTATCCTTGAACCAATCGAGGGCCGGTAATAGACAAAATTTGAACTAGAAGATTTTTCCAACAGCAGTCAAAACTTATAATCGAAATTTCGACTATTCATAAGCAATTTTTGAGCTGGTTTTAATCAACATTTTTACTTCCAGCCGCCTTTAAGTGGCTCTTGAACAATTATTCAATAGATTAAAGGAGGTGTGACCCAAAAATGAAAGTTTTAGTGCAAAGAGCAAATATTATTATTATTATTATTTCATTTCAGTTTCAAGCTGGTCAACTACTAGACAGACGGGCGGACCACCAAGTCTGATTAGTTTGGATCCATATATAGTTGTTCAAGGTGTTTTGTAAACATGATATATGTAATACTCGTGGCTGAGATAATAAACGGAATTATATAGACGTTGGTTAGTTTCCATATCCTTTCTAGCTCAATGACAAGAGTGTCTTTCTCTTAGAGCAGGTAAAGGTAAAGGAGTAGTAACCTGGATTTGGAAAATGAAACCGTTTTTTTCCAGGTATTTTGGCCCACAAAAAATGGTGGTTATGGCAATTCAATGCTCTACCTGTATTTTGGTGCCAAACACTTGCCAAAAACTTAGCTTCGCTTTAGTTTCATAAGCAGAATGGCGCGTTCCTACTCCTGTCCGTAGGACAGCGCTTTACCTGCTCTAAGGTCTTTCTCAATTTTTTTTTGGTATTTTTTTATTTATGTTTGTATCAGTTGGTATGGCTATGTCGATCAAATAAGTCACTTTACTTTATTTGTCCTGTATGGTATAATATCTGGTCTATTGCATGTGATGGTTTTATCAGTGTGTATAGTAAGATCATAATATAGTCTGTATTGTTGATTTTCGAGGACGCTCTCAGGGTGTTATTTATAGTATGGTCTACTTTCGCACAGAAGTTCATTCCTAATGGCTATTGCTTGATGGATTATTTTTGCTACATTGTTATGTCTTTCCGTGTAATCAGTGCCCGCTAACATTTTGCAAAATCCTACAATATGTTTGATGTTCTCTTGTATGTGATATTTTCTACATGTATCATCAATTCCTGGGATTTTCATGATATATTTCTTATAATTTTTTGTAGCAATGACTTGATCCTGTATGGCAAGCAGAAACCCTTCAGTTTCTGGGTAGAGTTCACCTTCTTGTAACCATTTGTATGTAAGTTCTTCACTGATATTTTCATTTTCAACAATGTGTACATGTTTTCCATGGAGTTTCTTCTGTGCCCATCAATTTAACTTCTCTTTGGGATCTGGCGTGTCTGTTTTTTCTTGCCTTGAAAGAGTTAGTGGTGTGATCTCCGTGTCTGCCTCTGTGATCGCTTCATGTAGTGCTGTGTTTTTGTCGTGAAAGTGTTTTCTTAACATTTGTATCTGTTTTCCATGAAACACGCAAAGATATATGAGTCCCCTTCTTCCATGCTCTCTGTCTATCGTTAACTTCTTTTTGGACGAGTGGGGGTGGCGTTTTCTATGTTTGGTTAATTCAGTCCTTGTAATTAGGTTAATTTTCTACATGTCTGTTTTCATCCATTTTATGATCCCAAACGAGTAAATGAGTAGAGGTATGGCAAATGTATTTTTAGCTTTAAACAGCTTTTTTGCTTTTAATTTTGTTCGTAAGAGTCACGACAGTCGATATTTATATTATTGTGCTAGCTCGTCTTTTATTGTTGTATGTTGAATTTTTGAATTTTCATTTTTAGCATTTTGCACTTATCCATACCAAATTGCATCTTCAAGTCTGCAGTTATTTCTTCAATTAGTTTTATAAGATCTTTCATTTGTGTGTCAGTGGATGCGATCTTTAGGTCGTCCATGTAAAGAAGGTGATTAATGGTGTGTGTGTCGTTGCTTTTTGCTGTCTTATGTGGAATCCATGTTTAGAATCGCTAAGAGCATTGGACAACGGATTAAGACATAGACAAAACCACAGAGCACTCAGCGAGTCATCCTGAAATATACCCCGCTTGATAGCTATGGTTTCCGTTTGTATTTTCTTTGTATCTGTACTCAAGCATATTGATGTCCTCCAGTTTGACATGGCTTTGAATGAAAAGTTTTGAATACAGGGATCTATTTTGTAAATTTCAAGGACTTTCTGAAGCCAGGAGTGCGGGACAGAATCGAAGGCTTTTTTATAGTCGAAGTAGCATACTTGCAGTTTTCTCTGATTTGTCTCTACTTGTCCCAGTATCACGCTATCTATTATCAATTGTTCTTTACATCCCTGGGCCTGGCTTCCCTTTCTGCAGCCTTTTCGTTCTTCAGTTATTACATCGTTTTCCGTTAAATGCTTTTCTATTTTTCTGCACACTGCTGAGGTAATGATTTTGTATAGCGTATTATGTATGTTCTTCGTTCAGTTAGAAATGCCGGTAGCTCTTGCGGATTTTTTACTATTTTATTGATCTGGTTAGCAAGATAAAGATGGGTCGATGTTAATTGTTCATACCAAAAGTTGTGTAGATTATCAGTGCCTGGACTTTTCCAGTTGTGGGTATATTTTTATCATTAGTGTGAGTTCTTCGGGTGTTATTTTAAACTCCTTTTGGTTTTGTAGTTTGGCCTTTTATCCACCCAGATGTATAGTTGTGGTCTACTGTTTCGGACCAAATACTCTTCCAGAACGCAGATATTGATTCTTCATTTGGTGGCGCAGTTGTGGCTCTGATCCTGCCCATCAGCTTTCAATAAAAACTCTTCCCATTAATTTGAAATAGTCTATTATCACACATTCTTTTTCGTGACTCCTTGTATCTTCGTTGCGTGCTGCATATAGTGCAAGTTTTTGCTTATGTGTATCCAGTATTTGTGTTGGTGGTTCCTTGTTATTTTCAAATATGTGCTCCATAGTTTTCATATAATTTTTTTTGACCTGTTGCCTTGAATGTATTGTGGTATTCGTCCTATGTTGCTTCTGAGGTTCTTTATGTTGTTTTCAATTCGTATTCCCCGTCTTGGTTTTTTGGATGCTACTTTTGCTTGCATGTTCTTATCTAAAAATTTTTGTCCATAACACGTTAAAACAGTTGCTGCTGCAGCATACACTAACGTTTGTATCTCTTTGAGGCTGTTCATATTGGCCAGATATTTTGTTATTATATCCTTGTCGACTATATGAATTAGTGTTCTTGTATGTCTCTGATACTTTAGTTTAGGTAGTATTATGGTCCCATTCTTGTTGTTAACATCGAACTCTGTGGGGGCGTGGGGTACTGGTTTTGTATTGTATTGTTTCCGTTTTGTGGCTTAAGTGTGAATGGTTCATTGTTATACCCTCCTGTTGTTTCTCTAGACATGTGTTCTTTGATTTTGTGTTCCGCTAGTCTCTTATTTTTGATTATAACACGCTTCTGGCTTCTGGTCTATCAATCTCTGTTCTGTTAATCCAGACAGTTGTGGGTTATTCGTTGTAAATAGTCTATGCAGTTCGAATTTATAGCCTGCTACTATTTGTTCAAGTTGTGTGGCTTGGTGATAGCAGCGAATGACAGTGCGGTTCATTTTATCTGTCCAAGTCATCCGTTGCCTAACTTTTCCTGCCTTAGTGGTTGCAGGTAGTTCCTGCAAAGCACTTTCGGCAGTTTTTGTAGGTTGTGTTTGTTTTGTAGGGTTCGCGGCTGTTGACCTACTATTTCCTCGGTTTTTCTTGGGTTTTATTGAAGTTTGAGGTATGATTAATTCGAAATGACCAGCTTCTGGGTTTCCACCGAGTAAAATGTTAATGGTTTCCTTTTGTGTGGTTTTGTTGATTATTATGGGTTTCTGATTGAGTTTTATTGTTCTGTTGTCTGTTCTGTTTGGACAAAGAAATACATGGAAGTAGGGTTTATAAACTTCCGATAAGGCAAATATCTCACAACTCGTTCCATAGGTAGTTGTAGGCTCCATCTGTTGACAGTATGTATCCACATCTTTTCGTTGGTCATTTCGTATTATTATTATTGAAATTGAAATTTTCTCACAGAATTGTGGTTTAATGTTGCTGAAACGGCCTATGCCAAGTCACTGCAAATATTATTATTATTAAATTGAATTGGAGAATGATCTGACAATATGGCATGTTTTTAAGATGACTGATTTCTGAAAGTTTTTGTGTATGTTAGTGTTGAGTCCTAGCTGTTTCAGGTGTGATTTGAATGTTTTGGGTATGAGGCCTGTTAATGACATAATCAAGAGGATAATAGTAACTTTTTCCTGCCCCAGAGCCTCTTCATTTCGACTGCTAGGTCTGTGTATTTACAGATTTTTCCATTGTACTTTGTCTGGATGTTTTTATCACTGGGAATAGCTATGTCAATTAGGTATGTGATTGTTTCTCTTTTTAACTGAAAGGTATCTGGTTTATTGGCGGATATTGTTTTATCTGTCTGAATATTGATATCCCAGTAAAGTTTGAAATCCTTGCTTTCTAAACTGCTGGACACTTGAACTTACACATACAGATTTTAAAGCAAAACTGAATTTTATCGCCCCGTATATCGTAACCCTATGGTCCTATGAGAAATTTACGTCAAGCTTTATTCGCAAAAAACAAGCTATTAAAATCCACAAACCGCGTTAAAAAAACTTTATTCGTGTCGAAAATATGGAATTTTGAATTTGCTCTAAAAATCTGTATATGTGAAAGTTCGAGTGTCCAGCAGTTTAGTATAGACGATGATGTGTATTATGGCTCTGTGTTTTCTATTAAATAAATAAATAAATAAATAAGCTTTTATTCCCAACAGGTAAAACCCACTTACAGGAAATTCACTAAAAATAATAGTGTAAGAAAAAGAACAAAATTAAACCTAAACTAAACTAAAGTAGGCTCATACT